TTAGTAGTAGTAGTGTAATAATAATTATTATTATTAGTAGTAGTAGTAGTGAATAATAATTATTATTATTAGTAGTAGTAGTAGTATAATTATTATTATTAGTAGTAATAGTAGTAGTATAATTATTATTATTAATAGTAGTAGTAGTAGTAGTAGTAGTAGCAGTAGTAGTAGTATGAAAGGGGGTAAAAGGAGAGAATGATTGTGGTGCCGAGTCTTTATTATTATTTATTATTATTATTATTATTATTATTATTATTATTTCTAGTAGTAGTAGTGGTGGTGGTGGTGATAATAGTAGTAGTGGTAGTAGTAGTAATAGTAGTAGTAGCAGTAGTACTAGTAGTTATATTTATTATTAGTATTAGTAGTAGTGGTGGTGGTGGTGGTAGTAGTAGTAGTTAAAAATTATTATTATTATCATCATTATTATAAATTATTATTATTATTATTATCATCATCATCATCCTCAACAACAACATCATCGTCACCATTATCATTATCATCTTAGCCAGAAACTTCGCCAACAATAACAACAACAACAAAACCAACACCATCATCATCGTCATCGTAATCATCCAGTAATAAATAAATCGTCAATATATGCGACACAATAAAACTGGTGCAAAAGATCGATCGTGATTGTTTCAAAGGAGGAGGAAGAACAAAACAAATTTGTAACGAATTACAGTGGGATAGATAGGAAAGAGAGAGAAAGAAAAGGAGAGAGAAAGAAAGAAAAGAAAGAAAGAGAGAGCGAGAGAGAGAGAGACAAAGAGAGAAAAATGAAAAAGAGAGAAGAAAAAAAAAGTAGAGAGTGAGAGAGAGAAACAGAAACAGAATGGGGACGAGAAAAGAGATCAACTTAAAAAAGAGAGAGAGATATAGCGAAGAGAGAGAGAGTACGAACAAAGAAAGGAACACAAATAGAAAAGAAGGCAAAGAGGTAGTTGGAAAGAATAAGTAAAAGTGAAAGTGTGAGAGAGAGAGAGAGAGAGAGAAAGGCAACGGTGAAGTAGATAAAGAGAGACTGATAAAAATAAGATAAGAGGATGGCGTTTTTTCTTTATATTTCGTATTAAAACGCGACTTCCGAAAATGTGACGTCATCCACACTGCCATCGCCCGGATGTGACGTCATCCACTCTGTCGTCCCAGTGACAGACAGTGTCATATGGTCATTGTTGATTTTTCATTGAGAGGAAGAGCCAAAGGAGTAGTGAGGAAGAAGAAAGAAAAAGAAAAAGAAATAGAAAGAAAGAGAGTGGTGAAAGACAGAGAGAGAGAGAGAGAGAGAGAGAGAAAGGGGATGGTGAAAGATAGAGAGAGAAACAAAAAGGAAAGAACGGTAAATTTAATACAGAGAGACAAGTGAAAAATGAGAAAATACCATAGAAAATACTTATGAAGAATGAAAGAAAGAAAGATAGAAAGAAAGCTAACGAGACAGCAAAAGAGAAAGAAAATAGTGAATGAGAAGAAAGGTAAAAGAAAAGAAAAGAGATAAAGAAAGAGAGAGAGAGAGAGAGAAAGAGAGAGAGAGAGAAAGAGAGAGAAAAAGAGAGACGACACAAGTGAAAAAAGGAGCAATCAATAAGCCCATTGTTTCCATGCAAACTCGTCCTTCCTTATCATTTTTTAACTTGTTTGCACACAAAAAGTTTGTCAACATTGTTTATAATAATAATAATAGTAAAACAATAATAATAATAATATTAATATTAATTATAACTATTATCATTAGTAGTAGTAGTTGGAGTAGTAGAAGTAGTAGTAGCAGCAGTATTAATAATAATAATAATAATGATAATAATAATAATAATAATAATAATAATAATAATAATAATAATAATAACTTATGTAGCGCTAAGGGCAAGCAACTGAAACACTCTTTGCCAGTCAAGCCAGTGCAACATGATATATGATATATAATGGAAATGACATATAAAGCCAAACAATTAGATCTAATAGATACAATGCTGTTTAAATGTTATTAGCGATTGTAGCAAATAGTACAAAGATAAGTTTTTAGTTTTCAAGTTTTCTTTTTTAATTCCGAAAATTCGTTTATCCTTAAAAGTAGCCAGTGAAGGTTTAGAACAGGTTCTAATTCAGTATTAGAACAGGCTCCAAAATGAAGGTGGCAATGTTGGTTGACACATGTTGTTAGACTGTTGTAGGTGCTTTGGATGAACGCAAGTTTCTGTTCGATTCTTTGATGGCAATTAGATTTCTTAATAAATTGGCTGTGATGTTGAAAGTGTCTTGAATGTAATTGTGGGAATTTTAAATTTGGATCCGAAATTCGATCGGAAGCCAGTGAAGAGTTTTAAGGTTCTTTATTGGGTTGGTCTGACATGCTGAAAGTTTAATGTTTAGGACAACAAGTGCAATTTATTCATCAATGTTTGAGGTCTTTTCATTTGTAAATGCGTGACGCCATATAAAAGACTATTGCAGTAATCTAATCCAGATAAGATTAAACAACGTATTAATGAAGATGCTAATGTTGTTGACAAGAACGGTCTGATGTGGCCAATTGCTCTAAGATGATGCATGTTTGACTTATTGATGTAATATACTTATCAAAACTTAGCCTTGAATCTAGTACGATGCCGAGTGTTTTCAAGTGATTGCTTATTGTAATGGGAATGTGTGGCTAGATTCGATAGTAGTAGTAGCACAGCCGCATTAGCAGCAGTAGTAGTAGCAGTAGCAGCAGTAGTAGTAGCATATCCTTTGGAAATAGGCTCCGCATATAATTAAATTTTAATTAATGCAGAATAATAATTAATTCTATAAGTTCACATAATTCTATGTAGAAATTCCTTAGGCTAATTAACAACAACAACGACAGCAGCAACAACAACAATAATAATAATAATAATTACAACAGCAACAAAACAACAAAAACAATAATAATAACAACAACAATAATAATAACGACAAAAATAATAAACGAAACCTTGTTGATGGCGAACTGGAGACAGACGACGGCCAGCTCCTCGCTGGAGTGCCTCACAAGTATGTCCACCCCTGGTCGCCCGAATCTAATAGTGAGAACAATCTTTTATACGGCTTTGATACGGTGCGTGCGTGTGTGTGTGTGTGTATGTGTGTGTGGTGTGTGTGTGTGTGTGTGTATATATACGGCTAAATAACAATGAAAATAGACAATAAAATGAAACAAACTGGTAAGTAGAATAAAATAAGAGTAAAAGATAGAATAAAATAACAAGAAGGGTAGAGTATTAATTTAGTCTAATGAAGATCTTCATCCAAATGGAATGAGTACAACTAGAGTTATTTGGTTTCGAAATTGATTCAAGTCACATTTCTACCGCAGTAGAAGATAGCATAGCGTACGACGACGAGTTAGTGAAGATTCAACTAGAGACTATTGCAGACATGATCGGACCGAATAATGTTTACAAGAGAGAGAGAGAGAGAGAGAGAGAGAGAGGGAGAGAGATAAATTAAATATTTTAAATAACATAAAATAAAATAATAACAATAATAATAATAACAATAATATAATAATAATAATAACAACAATAATATAATATAATAATAATAATATAATATAATATAATATAATATAATATAATAATATAATAATAATAATAACAACAATAATAAAAATGATAATAATAACAACAACAACATAATAACAAAATAATAATAACAATAATAACAATGAAAACAACAATATACATGCAGGTAAGTATACATCATGTACTGTATGTACATCGTTCATACATAAAGTTTTTCTCTCTCTCTCTCTCCCTATATATATATATATATATATATATATATATATATATATATTAGGGGATATATTATATATTATATTACCATGAATTTATATATGAATTTATATATATATATATATATATATGCGTGATCGTCTGTGTGCGCGCATGTTCCGACTAATAAATAGTAACACGATTAGGCAATTATCACATGATTCTAATTTATTCCGATTCATTTTTATTACTATCGTCATCATCATCATTGGTATTATTATTACAATGTTATCACCATCATCGTCATCATCTCATCATCAGTTTGAAATATCAATTGATGGCGGTGTCATTAAAAGAGCGGAGACAATACAATTTTTACGTGTGTTCATCAAATCTGATCTACCATGGATAAACCATATTTTTTTATTATTCTTTAAAAATCAGAATCTGACAGACGAATAAATAAATAAATAAACAAATAAACGATTGTCACGAAACTTTATTTTGTTTGATGATGTAAAATCAGTCAATGCCAAATATCAGTCTTTCATTACTGATGAGAGAAATTTAATGTTAAACGTGATGCACATGAACATAAGAAGCTTGATAAACAAATAAACAAAACCAATGAACTTTATGATTTATTAATAAATTTTTCTTTCAAATTTGATGTCATTGCAATAACAAAGATCTGGTTGAATAATGCCAGTGATGTTGAAATGGAAAGCTACCACTTTGTTGGGAAAAATCGATGCAGTAAGCATGGTGGTGGTATCGGTTTTTATGTGGAAAGTTTTTGAAACATTTTTAATTGAGTTAATTAGTAAAGATTCAAAAAAGTACCCAATAGTGATAGCAACTTACCGACCACCATCTTAGGACCCAAAATTCTTTCTCAAATAATTAAAACAGTTATCACATGTTGCGAATGATGAAAATAAATTTATTTGATTACACTAGACAACAAATTTTAACTTTGTGTCTGCTACTTGAGCAAAATTATATTATCCATATAGAGTTTTTGATGCTGATTTCAAATATGTAATCAGAATTTTTGTAGCACATACAGTTTTTTAGTTATTTGTTTTTTTTTTTTTTTAAATTTTGCTGTATTTAATGTTCAATTTCAAGTTTTTCATACCAAATTTAAAAATTTAAATATCTAAATGTTTTTCTTTGTTCTATTTTATTACCTTTGTCTTTTATTCTTTGAATCTATTTTGTTTCCCTTAAATATTATTAGTCATCTCTTCTTTTTATTCTTTTTTTGTTCAATTTTGTTATATAAATACACTATTCCAGAACTATATTATAAATATACAATTCTAAATTAATTTTAAATTTATCCAGTGATAAAAATGAAGAAATCTAACCGTAGTTGTTTGAATGAACCAGACAATTTTTGTTATATTTGTGGGCAATTTACACCTCGTGATCAGCGAAAAAATTTGTCAAACAGAATAAAGATTGCCTACTACCATTACTTTGGAGTAAAGGTGGCGGATCAAGAAAGAACCTGGGCTCCACATATTTGCTGCAGTGTTTGCTACGTAGGTCTCACTCAATGGTTAAATGGGAAAAGAAAGCAAATACCTTATGCCATTCCAATGATATGGCGTGAGCCAAGAGATCACCATTCAGACTGCTACTTTTGCATGACAAATATACAAGGACATTCTAAGAAAACCAAAGCATCAATTGTGTACCCTAATTGTTCATCTGCAATAAAACCAGTTCCCCACAGTGTTGAATATCCTGTTCCAACTCCTCCTACAGACACTGTTCTTTATAGCGAAGAAGAACAAAGTGGTGATGAAATGGTTGATGTTGAATACAAACCAGATTACGACAAAGATAAACCTCACATGATCACGCAGGGAGAACTTAGTGATCTGGTAAGGGACCTTGGGTTAACTAAAAATAAAGCAGAACTCCTGGGGTCTAGATTACAGCAATGGAATTTACTGGACAGAGGAACTAAAATATCCCATTTTCGTGACCGGCACACCGAATTTGCAAAATTTTACAACAAAGAGGACAATATATGTTACTGTGTAGACATTGCTGGATTAATGACAAAATTGGATGATGAGTATGATCCTGTAGATTGGCGTCTGTTTATTGATTCTAGTAAAGTCAGTCTAAAAGCAGTTCTGCTACATAACGGAAATGTTAAAACATCCATTCCTGTAGCCCATGCAGTGGTTATGAAAGAAACATATGAATCTATGAAGACACTTCTTAAAGTTATAAAGTACACTGATCACAACTGGGATATCAGTGGAGATCTCAAAGTTGTTGCTCTTCTTCTTGGGATGCAATTGGGGTACACGAAACACATGGGCTTTTTGTGTCTGTGGAACAGTCGTGATGATGCAAATCACTATCTCGTCAAAGACTGGCCTGCGAGAATTGATCCGGTACCTGGACAATTTAACATTCTTCACGAATCGTTGGTGAATCCTGACAAAATCTTCCTTCCTCCTCTTCATATCAAATTAGGAATATTTAAAAACTTTGTCAAGGCGCTACCTACTGATTCGAAAGGATTTATTTATCTTAAAGATAAATTCAAAACCACTCTCACAAACGCAAAGATAGCTGCAGGAGTTTTTACTGGACCACAGATACGTGAAGTTATTCGTGACCCAAATTTCAAATTACAACTAGAGCCTGTGGAGTTGCTGGCTTGGGAAGCGTTTGTGGCACTGGTTCAGAACTTTTTAGGAAACCACAGATCAGAAGACTATGTGAACTTGGTAGAAAACTTCATAATGGCATACCAAAACATGGGTTGTAGAATGTCCCTAAAAATCCATTTCCTCCATTCCCACCTTAGCTTCTTTCCTGCCAATTTAGGAGCTGTCAGTGATGAACAGGGAGAAAGATTCCATCAAGAAATCTCTGTTATGGAACACCGGTGTCAGGGTCGTTTTGATAGTAACATGATGGGGGATTTCTGTTGGTTTCTACAGCGTGAAAGTGAAAGTCAATATAAGCGCAAAAGATCATTATCGACAAATTATTCTTATTAATTTAACTTTGAGACATTACCTATATAATAATTTTGATTTAAATAAATAAAAAATCAATCAGATTATGAATATGTTTTGGTTTTGAGTATTCTTGAGCACAGCTGAAAATGGACTAATTTAGCACCTAAAATTCACAATCTTTTAGCTGTAACTTTATAACCTGACGTCCTATGACAAAAAGAATAGCAGATTTGTAATCAGTATACCCAAATTACCCTAGAACAACTAACAAAGTCTGAGTAGCAAAAAACTTGTTGCATAGTGTTATTGGGTGACTTCAACTTCGGGGTACCTCAGGGTTCTATCCTTGGCCCTCTTCTATTTATACTCTATACTTCTGAACTACCTCGTATTATTAATAACTTTTCTTTCTCTAGTCAACTATATGCTGATGATTCTTATATTTATACTTCTTTTCCTCCATCTAATCTCAATAGTGTTCTTCATAATTTATCTCTATGTCTTTCTTCGATTATCGCTTGGTCTGATTCTATGTGTCTTAAACTTAATCCTTCTAAGTTTGAATTAATTTGTTTTAATAAATCTAAACACTCAATTACTATTCCTCCTATTATCTTACCTGATTCTAAAACTCTTGATGTCTCTCATAAGTTTCGCAGTCTAGGTTTTATCTTTGATTCTACTATGTCTCTCTCTTCTCAGATTAATAGTGTTGCTAGAAGTTCTTACTTTCATCTACGTAGAATAAAAAAACTTTTGCCTTTTCTTGATGATCCTACTCTTCTCCTTCTTGTTACTTCGTTAGTCTTATCTAGGATTGATTATTGTAACTCGCTCTACTATGGTCTTCCTGACTCTATACTCTATCTTTTAAGTAAAGCTTTTAACTCTGCTGCTCGTCTAGTTGCTCGTGCCCCTTTCTTTTCTCATATATCTCCATATCTGGTTCTCTTGCACTGGCTACCTATAAAATATAGAATAATTTTTAAAATTTGCATGTTGATGTATAAGTCTCAATCTAAATTATTTCCTAAGTACTTATCAGATATATTAATTGACCCTAAACGCCCCGGTTTACGATCGTCTTCTTCTTCTCGCTTTTTCTTAACTCGTGTTAAACACTCTTTTGCCAAATCTGCTTTTGCTTTTTCTGGTCCTTTTCTCTGGAACTCTCTACCTACTTCTCTAACTATTTCTCCATCACTTGCGAAGTTCAGAGCGGATCTCAAGACCCATCTGTTTTCAAAATTCATTGAGGAGCGCTGTTGAACATCGCGGAAATAGCGCTTTATAAGCTAATTGATTGATTGATTGATTGAACTCATTATAAAAGAAGACAACAATAAAACTAATTTTTTGCATCTCACATAATGCTACAACTTAATACCACTTATTAAAATTCCAACAAGAACCAGCATTAAAAACACGTTAAAAATTGAAATTCAGGTTGTAATGTGCGACTTATCAGATCATTTTCTAATTTTTGCTTCATTCGATGATGTAAATAAATGTCAAGACTCAAGACAAATAAAGTTCTCCTTTTTTGTACACCGACTGCATAGATTGAATGAATGTTTGCAATTTTCGGACTGGTGTTTGATTGCGTTGATGTTGATGAGGGGTTTCAACTGTTCACCAACAGATTTCTATCTTGTTTTTAAAATCAAAACGAAAGAAAAACAAACGCATAAAACAAAAGCCATGGTTTTCTGCAGAAATTAAAAAATTATTAAAAAAGAAAAAACGTCTATTTAAAATTTATCTGGAAAATCCGTCTGAAGTTAGATTTTTTAAATTCAAGACTAAAAGTAAATTCTGTGCAAACTTAAAAAAGAAATTAAAACGTAAATACGACATTAATCAAATCGAGCAAATTTCAACTACAGCAAAAAAGTAAAAAAGCAAGAAGTATTGAAAAGACCTAGTAGCCATAAAACAAATTTACAAGTAACTTCAAATGAACTCTACTATGGTCATATTGTCTTCTTATTAACTTTCATTTTTTATTAAATTATTATAAATAAAAATCTTTAGAGTGACCATTTTATATATATATAATCTTATTTTATAATTTCTTGCATCCATTTTCGTTAATTACTGAGAACAATACTCAATACCCATTTTATGAAAATAATTTAATTATATAATTTCTCGTCAAATATCTCATGATTTATTTTGACTATTACTGAAAACAATATATTGATATTTCTGTTAAGGTGGCCATACTAGACGAGTCCTCATATTGTCTTCTTATTAACTTTCATTTTTAAGAAGCAAATAAAAACTTCGTTTCGTTTCGTTTCGTATGTGTGTGTATGTATATGTGTATGTTTTTGGTTGTTTTTTTTTGCTTTTGCAAACTTCTGTGCTTTATTTGCTAGGTAATTCCAAATTTGGTCAAGTTGAGTCTAGGGAAGCTTTACTTTCCAGTTTTCGGCTAGTAGATGTGATTGAAAGTCAAACATTTTGTTAGAAGAAGCCGAAAAACCGTCAATTGTACTGCCGAAATTCGCGCATGTGAGCGATAAAACGAAAGGCTTAAAAGAATTTGTAGAAGTATGCAAGTTTACTTTTGATAACAATATGGAAGAGAAATTTTTGACATTCGCCGCCAGCACATTTAATTGGTTAGTTAAATGTGAATCACTCATGGCTAATCCAATGCAAAGGCAAGTTCTCAATAATGCTATTAAACCCGCCATTTTGGGTACGCTTGACAAATATAGTAAAAAGTTTGATAAAATAAAAAGGCTGTGTACAACAACCTGTTTAAAGAAACAGCTATTGCCGCCTAACAAACGACGCACAGCCAAATTTAAACAATCCAGCTTCTGATAATAAAAAGTCGACTTTACACGGAAAAAAGTTTTTCATGTCAGCAACGTGGCAAAATGTGCCGCTATCGATGTCATTAAGCATCTTAAAATGGTCATTGTCGACGTCATCTCATGCTTCACGGCTTTCGAAAAAAAACAAACAATGAGGCTAGACCTGACTGTTCTCAGCTTTCAACGTTGTTTAGGTCGCGTGTTGATGACAAATTTTCTGAAATTTGTACAAGGGTAAGTTCGTGGCCTGAGCATGTGCGGATAAGAGACTGAACTTTCGGCAACAACAATCAACCCTAGGCACGTCTGGCTATCAACAAACAATGACGAAATAAATTGTTTTATGATAATATTGTCAACGTATTTCTACTCTTTAATTGCAAATCATTAGGATACAATTTATTTTGTCTTTATAAATGCTTGTGGGAATGTGAATGTTTGAATGAATTTCGTTTGAATGAATTTCGTTTGATTGTGACGTTATAAAACTTTTAAACTTAACGATGGATGTACATAGTCTTCCGCCTTAAATAATTTTCGTAAATTTAACTTTATAATTTCATTTGTATTAATTTTGCCTTATTTAGTTTTCAGTCTCTCACTTCAATTTTCACATGTCTTTATTGTCAGTTTTAATTATTGTTATCTTTCAATTTTAAAAATTATTTTTTTAAATGTAACTATTTCTGTTGTAGGTTTTAACCATTCCAGTTTGCATTATCTGTTTTTCCGCCTTCGGTATTTCAATTTTTAATATTTTTATTATGTGATTGATTTAATTTCATTTAACGTTTAATACTGAAATATCATTTCTTTAACAATCTGTTTAAAACTTTAAGCATTTTTTATGTAGCTGTATATGTATTTGTATGTGTATATGTGTATGTATGTGTGTATAAATGTGTATGTGTGTGCGTACATACATATGTGTGTATATATATATGTATATGTGTGTGTATGTATGTGTGTATATATGTGTACGTGTGTGTATGTGTATGTATATACATGTCGCCAAACACCAAAGATGCTGTGATTTTCATCAATAATTGTATATATATAAGTGTATGTGTATGTTTGTGTGTATATGTGTGTGTATGTGTGTATATATGTGTGTGTGTGTATGTATGTGTGAATATATGTGTATATGTGTGTGTACATATGTGTATATGTGTGCGTGTATATGTGTGTATGTATGTGTACTTTGGTATTTTTGGTATGTGTAAGTGTTTCAAAAATTGGTTTTAAATTTTTAAAATAACAATTTTTTTAGATTATTTTGTTATTTTTTTCTAAATAAAAAAAATTTAACTTTTAAATAACATTGTCATGTGTACTGGATAATCTGCTTAGATAAGAGATATTCTTTTGGGAGGACACTTTATGTAACAATTGATTGCCCATAACATTGTACATGAATATGTATATTGTATAACATTGTATATGAATGTTTGTATTTTTTTTAACCGAATGTATGTGTATATTTGATTATTAATAGAGAGCTCACTAAGACAAAATCAATTGATTGATCGATCAATTAATCAATCAATCAATCAACGAACCACACAACCAACCACACAACCAACCACACAACTCACATCCTTATATCTCCATCTTTGGTCCCGATAGCAAGCAAGCTCTGCAGGGGATCAAAGGCCATGGTGAGGGGTGCGTGCGGAAATCCATGTCGAATCAACTGATTGAAAAGTTTGTTTGATTGATTGATTGATTGATTGATTGTTTGATTAATGATATGATACCTCTTTAACTTCATAGTGAACTTCCACACTTGACTCATCACTATCTTTCTTCTTGCCAAAAACACTTTTCAATTTGCTCGCCATAATTTTATCATTAATCTGCTTTAATAATTAATTATAAATTCATTTTAGTATATACTTTGCTTATTTACTTATTGTTTTTGTTACTATTATTAATTAATTTTGAAAAATTACCCATCCATGGATATTAAACAAAGCAAGACCTCCACTTTGTGAGAAATGTAATGCAAAACTAACAATCCAACATGCATTAAAATAGAATGTTAAACATATAATCTATAATGAAAGCAGGAAAAAATAACAAATTCCAAAAGATATATAACACTCAATTTTTTAAAATAAAAACATAGCAAGCCTAACATCATACATTAGGCCTTCTTAAAGATAGCCTATCAGTGCTAAAACTCTGTAAAACTTCAGTAGAAGAAGAAGAGGAAGAAGAATAAACAAATTGAATGGATATGATTAGCATTTTTATTAGCAGGATGAATATGAACAGAATAAAATGCAAGTGAAAATGAAAGCTTTAATTCATGATCATGCATGAATGAATTAATAAATGAATGAATGACAGAAAAATGAAAATAAATAATAAGCAAATTTGAATTAAAATAAACTACTTTAAATATTAAATTTAACCAGTTTAAAACAGCTTAACTAAGGACTAATAATACATAATAGACCATAATAGTGATAGTCCTAAGTTAATTAAGCAGTATGGCACTTCACTAACTCTGTGCCAAAATGAAAAAAGACACAAAACGAGAGAAGTTTTCAAATTAATTAATATAACCTTAAAGTTTAAAGCTAGTTTAATTGAATTATTAAATTAAATTAAGAAATTAAAAAAATAAAAATGCACTTGAACTCAAACTTGACTAATGAAAAAAATTAATAAATAATAGATGACCACTAAACTGATTTAGAAAAACTATTAGTTTGAACTGCTTGACATTAGATGAGATGAGTCTTAACATTTAATTTCAAGTTGAGCATTTCGACATTTTTATTTTGAATTTTTTATTTTAATGTTTATCGCATTAAGAAGTAGCGAACGTAATACAAGATAGCTTCAAGTTTTTGCAGGCGACTTTTCCATTGCAAAAGTATGGAAAGCTGTTGTAACAATTATAATACAACATTATCTATACCAACAAATATACATATAAAATATAAAAACATATTAAAATATAAATTTAATATAAATTAAGTTATAAATAGTTATAAAATAGTTATAACAATGAAAAAAACAATTTATATAACGCTAATAGCAAGCAACTAAAAAGCTCTTTGCCGAAAAATAGATGCAATATGTTGTAGATTGACATAAATATTCCTAGGATAAGCATAAATAATAAAAACTATCATCAATAAAGTAATTCAGTTTAAAAAATGCGCAATTAAAATAAAAATATGACTGGCTACAAGAGCAAATTGTTAAAACGAGATTTTACTTTTTGTTAAAAATAGTCAACGAGGTGCAGGTTCTTATATGATGAGGTAGTTTGTTCTAAATTGATGATGACGAATGACAAAATGTACGATTTACGATGTTGGTTAAAGCACGCTGTTCGATATTTTAACGAGCGAAAGCATTTGCTGGGTATTTTGAGGGCAATTAGGTTTCTTAGATACAGTGGCTGCGATGTTAGTAACGTCTTCATGATTATTATTGCATTTATACGACATCTGACTGGAAGCCATAGTGAAGAGACATTAATGAATGAATGAATAAACGAATGAACAAACGAACAAACGAACAAACAAACAAACAAACAAATGAACGAACGAACGATGTCTTACTTTGTGCGTTATCGGTCACATATTAAATGCATGTTAATTGATCGATCGATTGATTGAGTTATTTATTTATAGATTTATTAATTAATTGACTAAAGATTTTGGAACAAAACGTCGTTCAGACCCCGGTGCGAATGTTTCAAGAATTTTAAGTTTAGTAGGAAGTCAGAATTTGTTTCAATTTTAAGAGCCATTTGGATGCATTGACACAAATAAGCATTGAATTAAAAGAAAATCCCTGTTTTCGGAAGAAGTGAATTGCATTATTGGATTCAATTCAATTCAATAAAGTGTTTATTCAGCAAAAGCATAATTGCTGGGAGACCCGAGGAAAATACTTGTTAAACCGCTCTGAGAATGAACAGTAATAAACAACTCTAATTGCTATTCTCGACTTCCAGAAGTTTGTTGGGGACAGGAAGTAAATATTAAAATTATATTTGGAGCGGTGAAGAAGTAATTAAAAATAATTTGTGTTTATTAAAAGTTTGGCGAGAAAAAAATTGCCCTTTTTTGCAATAAAAATGCTTATGATTGATGTTATATGTATTGTCTTCTTTTTACTTATCATCGTACGGGGCATGAATGTATAATAAAGAATAATTCAATAAAATTTTAGTTAATTGGATTTAGGTAAATTAACTTCATTACATCACAATGAAACGTTCATTTAAATTTGTAAAATTAGTTCGACTGTGTGCTCGATCGTTTGGATGACTTTGCCGCTTGTCTTTTACTGCTCAATTTCGAAATCTTGGCTTTTAGCTTCTGGTTCAATTTTCTCTTTTCCCCTGTTTTATAGGCTGATTTTCGTTTCAAGGACTTATGTGGTTTCTGTTTTTTTACATTTTTTGATTTCGATTTTTTACCAGAGAGCTTGGTATCTAGTTTGTTTTTCACGTGTTTTGCAGGTTTTGCTTCAGATGTTGAGTTTTCTTCGATGCTGTCTGAATCATCATCTTTGTCTTCTTTATTCTTCTCGTCCTTCTCATGTTTCTCCGTTTCTTTCTTCTTATGTTCCTCACCCTCGCTCTGCTTGATCTCGAAAATCAAGTCAGAGAGTTTGTTTCCCGGTGGTTCGTTCCTCCTGGTAAAGTACCGGTAGGCATAGTGGACGGCAATGAGGGCGTTGACTAGGAGAAAGAAAAGCAGGAGGTACATGAGCTTTCTGCAGCAATCATCCATCAGTTTTTCTTGGAGGGGAGTTTTTGCCGTCGGCAATGTAAAGTTTAGCTCAGCTTCCAATTCATTCATATCCACATTGTTTTTGTTGTTGACGGTTATGTATATATATATATATATATATATATATATATGAGTATGTGTGTGTGTGTGTGTGTGTGTGTGTGTGTGTGTGTGTGTGTGTGTGTGTGTGTGTGTGGTAGCTCTGCTGTTGTAGTTGTTGTGGCTGCTGCTTCTGATGCACGTGTGTCGTTAGTGCCTACTTGGCGGTTGTTGTCTGTTTGGCTGGCCGATTATAGCGATTGATTGGTTGGCTGGTCGATCGAATGGTAGAATAACTTTTTAATTAGTTTGGGTATTTCAGCTGTTGATACGGCGAGCGAATGGCGAGTGTCTCAATACTGGTTCAAAGTCGTTTATATTGATAGTTCATATATCCTTCGAATTGAAAATTTATAAAATTTTGTTCGCTGATTGATTGATTGATTGATTGATTAATTGATTGGTTTGTTGAGTGATTTGTCACGTTAATTCATTTGATATACAGAAACGGTTAATTCGATATTCTGACATTGAAAATCAATTTTTCCGCTGGCTTAGCAACAATAATTGACGAGTTCGTCAATCGACCATATTTCTAATCTCTTAAATGAAGTCGCCTGATACAAATTATCGTCAGAATAATCTTCGCCATGCTTATAAATCATCACAGTGATAAGCCATTACAAATGCTAAGATTTCATAATTTATTATTGTTATTTATGAAATAATAATAATAATAATAATAATTTTTATTATTATTATTATTATTGTTGTTGACAGTATTTTTGTTACACTTTTTAATGCTTTGTTTATTTTTTATTTAAATTTTTTATTTTTTTATTTAATGGATTTTTTAATTAACAGAGCTTCGGGTCTGTTTCAGACAGATAAAAATCTTTTTAAACTTGAATGAATTTTAAATGTAAATGTATATATTTTATTTTCAGCCAATTTTAATTATTTTTATTTACGTAATTTTTATTTATATAATAATATTAATGACGATAATAATAATAATTATTATTATTTTATTATTATTATTATTATTATTATTGATGCTGTTGCATTGTTTATGTTTAAGTGTGAATAAGGTGACGCGTTTTGTTGAAGACTTCGAAAAAGTAATCCAAAATTTAATTCCCTGTTAATTCATTTAAGATTCATTCATTCATTAATTCATCTATTCATTCATCTATTAATTCATCTATTCATTCATCTATTAATTCATCTTTTAATTCATCTATTAATTCATCTATTAATTCATTTATTCATTCATCTATTCATTCATCTATTAATTCATCTATTCATTCATCTATTCATTCATCTATTCATTCATTCCATGTTTCTTCAATTTGTTTGTTCATCCATTCATTCATTCATTCATTCATCATTTTAATCAATCAATTTTGTCAGTGGTTGTAGTTGCAGTAGTAGTAGTAGTAGCTGTAGTAGTATTAGCAGTAGTAAAGACAGTAGAGGTAGTAGTAGTAATAGTAATAGCGGTAGTAGTAGTATTAGCTGTAGTAGTAGTAGTAATAGAAAAAACAGTAGTAGTAGTGGTAATGGTAGTAGTGGTAGTAGCAGCAGCTGCTTCTGCAGTAGCGCATCTCACGACCAGCCACAGAGATATCTCGACAGAATTCTGAAGATGAAGATGATTGCCAGTGCACCAAAGAAGACGTTCAAGCCGACCATGATGTAGCAGCATGGAATGTTCGTCTGGCTGTCCGTTGACGTCATGTTTGCAGTGAGGTTGTTGTTGGCTGCAGTTGACGCGCTGATGGTGTTGTTGTTGTTAGCGTTCGAGTCGTTGTGGTCATCTTTGGTGATGGTGGTGGTGGTGTGATGGATGCTCTGGTGGACGCTGTGGTTTGCTGTGGTGGTGGTGGTGGTGGTGTAGTGGATGCTCTGGTGGACGCTGTGGTCAGCTGTGGTGGTGGTGTGGGGTATGCTCCGGTGGACGCTGTGGTCAGCTGTGGTTTTGGTGGTGTGGTGGATATTGTTTTGGACGCTGTGATCAGTTGTGGTGGGGGTGTGGGTGGATGCTCTGGTGGACGCTGTGTTCATCTGTGGTGGTGGTGGTGTGGTGGATGCTCTGGTGGACGCTGTGGTCAGCAGTGGTGGTGGTGGTGTGATGCATGCTCTGGTGGACGCTGTGGTCAGCTGTGGTTGTGGTGGTGTGGTGGATGTTGTTGTGGACGCTGTGGTCAGCTGTGGTTGTGGTGGTGTGGTGGATGTTGTTGGAGACGCTGTGGTGGACATTGTGGTCATCTGTGGTGACGTTGAGGTAGTTGGTGTTTTTGCTGTAGTTATTTCGGTTCTTGGTAGGGATGACGTCATTGTTGATGCTAGATGTGTTGTTGATGTTGAGGTGATTGTTAATGTGACTGTTGAGGCTGTTGTTAATGATGTTGTCGGTGTTGTCAGTGAAGTTAGCGTTAATGTTTTTGTTGCATATTTTGTGTGCCAGCGTCGGTAGCGAGGTGAATGTGTTGTTGTTGTTGTCATTTTGTGCAGCTATTGTCGCTAAATTTGTTGGGACAATGGCGTTGTGGTTGTAGTTTATGGTGGCTGTGACGTCATTTTTGTGGTTGATGTGATCATTGACACTGCAGCCGTGATAATAGTAATTATTGTTGATCTTGTTTTTGTTGTTGATGTTGTTGTTGATGTTGTTGTTTTTGTTGTTGTTGACGTTGATTTTGTTGTTGTTAATGTTGATGTTGTTGCTGTTGATGTTGTTGTTTTTGTTGTTAATGTTGATGTTGTTGATGTTATTGTTGTTGTTGCTGTTGATGTTGTTGTCATCCGAAATTGTAGAAATATTTCTCGTGCTTTTGTAGTTGATGTTGTCATTATTATTATTATTGTTGTTGTTGATGATGATGATTCTGTTGTTGCTGTTGTTGAACATTTTGCAGAAGTGTAATCAATAAAGTCCTCCAAATAACATGTCAATAACATCCTTTGTCATTATTGCTCGTTAGAGACGATAGCTATGTTCCTGTAAGTAGGGTCAATAAATTATTATTACTAATATTATTTTAGCCATTATTATTATTATTATTATTATTTTTGTTATTATTGTTGTTATTATTGTTTAGGCGATTTTATATTTTGACGTTGAGCAATAGAGAAAAATTTTTTTTTAAAATTTGATTCATTTCCACGTTCAGTTTCGTTTGTATCCATGGATATATCATATCATATCTATTCATGACCTATATCATATCTATTGAGACCGTGGATTTGCGGTGACTTTTTGAGGTAAAAAGTTTCTAAATAAAAAACTTTTATAAATAAGTGCTCTGTGATAAAAATGACTGGATGGCGGGAATAAATGACGCAAAAGTAGATCCATTCATTCAGATTTTTATCGCCAGGGGAGGTGGAGAAGTAGAAATGTTTGCATGTCTGTTGGAAGTGGCTAACTATTTGTAGAGGTCCTTAGCATTAACATAGCGTAATTGGATTTTTTTTTAATTTTATGACGTTTTAATTAGATTATTTAAAATTTTTCAACAGTTTTTCTCGAACAAGACCAGTGTTTTTAGCATGTATTCAACAAAAAATCGACTTGCATTTTTATTTCAGGAGGGTGCACCAAGAGGCAACCAGCTTGCCCTACCTCGAATCTGACCCTGATTGTTGTTGGTCTATCGAAAAAAATTTTTCTTCTAAATTTCCATTTTATTCCTAGCGGCAAAAACAGAGAAAATAAGATGTTTAAAGAATACTTCCACACTTTTATGTTAAAATAACAACTTCGATGAGATGAATGGATTGATCAGGTCCTACTAGCGCTGCGTTTGTAAGCGCCCTTCAAAAAGATCTCAGAGGCGCTAACGATTATTGCAGTACGCTGCGTGGCACTTTACTAAAGCAATGCAGTGAATGGAGAAAAAAAACATTGGCACGGGTAAGCTTGGACAAAAAGATGGCGTTTCAACTTTCACGAAATTGAATAACAGACAAGGCATGGTCCCTGGGCAAACCATTCCAGACAGCAGGACCCACTGCAGAAAAATTTCTTCGACATAGAGCCAAGTTAGTGTCAGGTACAAACAGTAAACCTGAGTTGCCGGAGTTCAATGTTCAATTCAACAGTGGCATTGTTCTAGGAGAGACTCTGTCAGTTAAATATTTTGAGGCAACTTGCTTAAAACATTTAAAAACCGTCAAACATACCTTGAAAATAATGCTTTGATAAACCGGAAGCCAGTGATCGTATTTAAGGCCACCTGAAACCAACATTGCAGCCCAATTTTGAACCGACTGCAGTCCAGACAACCAGATATATTTACACCAGTCAGGCCGTGATATAAACTATTGAAATAGTCTTTTTCGAGTGGATAAAGGAATGGACAAGACATTGAAAAGTATGCTTGTCTAAAGTTTGTTTGACGAGCTTAAGCCTACCTAAATATAATAAATATTAATACTTTATTTATTTATGTTAGTAAAAAGTGCTGAAAATCTTTTTGTAATACGTTGATGGGATAGTAATAAATTCCTGTTTCTCGCCACAAAACATCCCTGTTTAATTAGGAAAATAAGAACATACTTTGATTTTTAAATATTTTTTCGTTCATAGCTCAGCAGGGGATGCACGGTTCAAGCATCAATCATCCAACTTATTCTTAAAAATTCATTTGAATATTATCAGGAGCACACGCACTCGGCTAAAAATTCCACATGGGGATGATTCCAGATGGAAAATAATGTTATAAATTTGCTGGGGTTGTTTACAACCGACAATCGTAGAGTTCGCATATCCGATAAGAATCAACGATAATTTGTCCCATACGAATTTATTAGAGAAGCCGAACTATCAACAAATAATTACAGAATGAATTATTTTATAATCGCACACTTGTAAACGAACGAACTCAATTTGTAAAACACACGCACTTCAACTCGTACTTGCTACACTTGGTAACTTTCTGTAAACACACACCTCTTTGTTTCGTATGTCGTCCCCTTTATACAGCTTTCTTTTGCAATGCATAGACATTTTACAATACGGCGTACCATAGATATTATTGTCATAATTATGGAGCGCTGTATTTATAACAATAATATATTGTTATATTTAAAATTTTAAACCATCCGACGTGCATGTTTCAGTAATTGGTGTGATGGCTATTTCACTCCCCTCATGAAATTAAAATTGAGTACAATTTTATACAAAACCACTAGTTTCAAGAATTTGATTGTATAATAAGTTTAAATTTGTGTCATAGAAGAAAAAAAAAGATTGTCAACATGTTTTAAACAAATTTTCAAAGCAAAGCAAAATTCTGGTTAAATCACCAGGACCCGGATTAATAATGCAAGGACAACATGACCGAAGGCCAGTACCTCCATTCAAAAGGGGGTTAGGGAGCCATCTTTCACGGACTTTTAAACTTTTTACATAATTCTTATCGCATTTTAAATGTGGCCTGTTATTTGAACAGATCTTAAAATAAGGCGGTTTTGGCATGGCGATTGTGAGTTATTCGGCGATCAAAGCGTTGCCATGTGTAACTCACATAATCAGAATAGTTTTGCTCATTAGCACCAGCATGAAAAGACGATGATCGTATATAGTCATAAAATTTTTTTTCATTGTTATAACCAATAACTATATTATTGAATTTTTAAACCACATAACTTAAATAAATATAACGGCCTTCGCTCACTTTTAACGGTCGAACAAGGAGCTAACTTCCGGAGAAGATTTGGAGGGTGATTTTTTATCGTTCGAGTCAAAAGTTACGAAATTGCATGGATTTTAACGAGCAAGCTATATGAAATATTTACTTGACTTAATATTCTTAAAACATTGTAGTAATTCTATTTAACTTTATTTAATAGAATTATGTATTATTAAATTATTTTTGTTAATTTGAGTGAAAAAATTGCTTTTGGTCCGATAAAATCCGGTGGCTTACTGAAGCCGAAGGTTGGCTAACTAGGATTGAACTATAGTCACCCTTTTTTACACTATTCGATCATGTTAAAGATTTGTTTGCCTATGAAATAAACGGCCTAAATAGATCAAAATTGTTAATATCTTCATTATATTCAATGAATATTTTACATTCTGCTGGTGCTCATAGAAACTGGTTGCTAAAATCATACGTTGGCTTACTGGGTTTCATAGAACTCTTATGATAGCGTTTTCTTGTACATATGCTTTAAATAAATCAATATATTCATATCACAATTATTTTTGTTCATTATAAATATAGAAATTGGTTTTGTCTGATGAAAAACAGTGCCTTACTGAAACCGTAGCTTGGCTTAATCGGATTTTATTTTCATGTATACAATACTATGAGATCAATCGATCAATCGATCAATCGATCAATCGATCAATCGATCAATCATTCAATCAATCATTCAATCAATCAATCAACCAAATTGAATGGATGAAAATACACGAAAAAAAAAATAAAAAACATATTTTCAAGGCTTGTTCAAACTCGAACACTTAACCGTACATATCTACAAACAGTTTCGAGATTTTATTAAAGAAAGACAAACACAATGGTTGCTTTTATTTGAATTCATTCAAAAATGAAAGGTGACGGTAAATTAAAATTTTTAAAACGTCAATATTTTAAAAATTCGTATTTAAAAAAAACGAATATAAGAAAATATCGACCGATAAAAAATAATTATTATCCATTGTTATTATACACACTTCTTAGTAGTTCTCTGAGAATGATTCACGTAGCAATAACATTTACTAAGAAGAGTTCACAGCATAACACAATGGCTAAATCAACATACCAAACAGTAATTATTTATACATGCATATACACAAAGTAAATCAAGAAATATCTAAAAATTATACAACCAAATTAAAAAAAAACTAGAAACCAGTCAACATTTAATAAATAAATAGACATTAAAAAGATTGTTCAAAAAGGTAAAATGTAAGGCGACGACGAGAATGAAATGTAGTTTGTTTTGTTGGTGTGGGGCTGTGAAGCGAAAACAAACAAACAAATCACTCAAAACTAATAAGAAGTCGCAAGAATAGTTGTCAGTCACCTACCTACAATAAAATTACTCTCAGGGCCCTAGCTTACCTATTATATAATGATTAACTCAACTTACCTACCTACCTACAAATTTGTATTTCTAAGTTTTAGGAATTTTACACGTTTCAGGTATTTTATTTAACATATTTTAGCGTTTTTATTTTACTTGAAACTTAACTAATGTTAAGCCCTAGCCTACCTACGATTGTTCAACTCATCTCAATCCCTAACTTACCTATGAATTAAATTAAAGTCAGGTAAAGAAAATAGAAAGTTGAAGAGAAACATAACAACAACGACACCGAATGAATGGATGTTGTGTATGTGTGTGTTGTATTGATGTATGTGCGTAAATATGCGCGCGTGTACTCTCCAGACACTTCTTATTGTCATCTTCGAATTGTCATCGGAACGATCATCATGAGACCACCATCTGAAACGTGCTGACGCTCACCACAACCCACCTCTCATCATTCTGTAGACAAATGTTTTTATTATCGTAGTAGTAAATGAATGTTAGAATCTTAGAAGAAAAAATTATAAAATGAAAATAATGGCAAATAATATTTTAAAATAATAAAGAGAGTAAAATGTAAAAAAAAACCTCACCGTCGTCCATTCAACAAAGGCAAAATGTTGAATGCCTGAGTGAATGAATGAATTAATTAAGTAAGTAATCAATCAATGATTCAATGATAAAAAAAATAAATTAATGGAAAAATACTTTGAAAGATTGAATGATAAAATGAATGAATAAATGAGCGAACGAACGAACGAACGAACGAATGAATGAGAAAAATTAAAAGACAAAACTAAACTTTACTTCAAAATCATCGTTACTGTACTCCATTGCACCGACCACAATCATCTGGTCGGCACA